GAGATGGAGCCTCACTCTGTCGCCCCAGGCTGGAGTGCAGTGGCACGATCTTGGCTCACTGCACCCTCTGCCTCCCAGGTTCAAGCGATTCTCCTGTCTCAGCCTCTCAAGTAGCTGGGATTACAGGAGTGTGCCAACACGCCTGGTTCAGCACTCATTTTATTTACATAGATAGAATCATACTAGGCATATTGTTATGCATGTTGCTTTTTTGACCTCATTTCCTTAAAAAAATTTTTTTGTTCTCTTTTTTGCTGCACTTTAGCCATGACTCCACCTCATTTCCTTTTTTTTAAAAAATTTTTTTTTGAGACAGAGTCTCGCTCTGTCGCCCAGGCTACAGTGCAGTGACGCGATCTCGGCTCACTGTAAGTTCCGCCTCCCGGGTTCACGCTATTCTCCTGCCTCAGCCTCCTGAGTAGCTGGGACTACAGGCGCCCGCCACCATGCCTGGCTAATTTTTTGTATTTTTAATGGAGACAGCGTTTCACCGTGTTTGCCAGGATGGTCTCGATCTCCTGACCTCGTGATCCACCCACCTCGGCCTCCCAAAGTGCTGGGATTACAGGCATGAGCCATGGCGCCCGGCCTTTTTAAAAAAGTTTTTAGAGACAGGGTCTCACTCTATTGCTCAGGATGGAGTGCAGTGCCATAATTATGACTCACTGCAGCCTCCTGGTCTCAAGCAATCCTCCCACCTTAGCCTCCTGAGTCGCTGGGACTACAGGCATGTACCACCACACTCAGTTAATTTTTAATTTTTTTATGGAGATAGGATCTTGCTGTGTTGCCCAGGCTGGACTCAAACTCCTGGCTTTGAGTGATCCTCCCACCTCAGCCTCCCAAAGTGCTGGTATTATAGGTATAAACCACTGTGCCCAGCCCCTCATATCCTTTTGAATTCTGATTTCTTTTCTCTCCTTGGTGATAACTGTCTCCCCTTTTCTAGCTAACAAAATCTTGTTGGCCTTTCACCTCCCACTTTAGGGAAATCTTAAGCTGGACGCTGGTTACATCTGGGCCCTGAAGCTTACTTTGGGACTTCCAACTAAATGCCCTCCTTCTCCCTGTGTTTTATATCTATGTCTTTCAAAGTTGATTGGCAGCCTAGGAAGCTATTTGTTGTCAACACTGGCCCCATTCTGGTTGTATTTATTTATGCCCTCAGGCACTGTCAATTTCAATAAACATGATTTTGCAAGCAAAGCCAGAAAAAAAAGGGTAGGAGAAAGAGAGAAGGAAACTGAATCTCACTCACATACCATATTTAACCACAGAAATGACAACAGCAGCTAAAGTTGTGCACTCTGTCCATAAATAAATAAATAAATAAA